ATCCTATAATTTTAAGCAGAAATCAAAATAGTATGTATAAAAATATTGATTTACTTCCCCCGTCCACCTACATGTACCGAACAATCCCATGTACCCTCAGAACCAATGTACCCTAAGAACTCGATGTACCCTCGATGTACCCTTTTTCGATGTACCCTTGGGTCGTGGGCCAGATTTCGTAGTCAAAGAGAATGTGGAGTCAAAGAGTAGGTGTAGTCAAAGAGTGGTGTAGTCAAAGAGTAATTGCCTGCACTTGTCATAGGTTTTTAGTACAATTGATCTCTTTTGCGATCTTCAGGAAGGTAAATTCGAAATTACGAAAAAAATTCTGATAATGGAAAATCAAAAGTGAGATCAATATTTGTATAGACTATTCTCCTCTCCACTGCGTGTCATGGAGAAATTGTTTTCTCTAGTCCTACGCTGAAATATAAGACTAAAAACGAAAATTATGGATGATACAGGTTTATTTAGGATGGATATGGTGTGTAGAATGTAGTGGTGCTGCTAACAGAGAAAGATGTACTGTATGTACGGGTATAATGACAAGGGGAAAGTAGTTATCCGGTGATAACTAAACAGCGGGGACAGAAGAATTTTTGGATGGCAGAAGATGAGAAACAAGCGATAAATTAGTGAGAACAAACAACAACATGAGAGAGAGACACTTGTTAATGAGAACAATAATATACTATGAAGCGGATAGATTTGATAAACAACTAAGAAACGTTTCGGTACTACAATAACCTGTTAATACGATTCTAACAAATATTACAAGATTAGCAAGCAATTGAGCCACTCAGACTTCCTTCTCTAGCAGTGGTGGTCCATCGTCCTCTTCAGCTTCCCCTGTCACTTCCTTCTCCTCTGGAACCTCGCTGAGTCCCTGGGCCATTGGATTGTCTTGAAGATATCTCATCAAGCCACCTCCCGATCTCCACCGTCCTTTGGCTTTGATTTGCTCCAAATTGAGTCCCTTGGCCTGAAGTTCGTTCGCCGATCCTCTTCTGAGCGCGTGATGAGTGGCGCTCACTCCTATCATTTCCAGACGTCTTCTGGCGATAGATGAAATAGTGTTTGCTGATAGCTTATCACCTTTTTGAAAACGCGGGAACAAGAACTCTGACGTACTTCCTGATAGAGAGACCCTAACTCTCCATCGCTTGATGAGACAATCCAGATCTCCTCCTACTGGGCATTCCACGAAAGTGCTCCGTCCCAGACCTAGCTGATCGTTTTTGGCCGATCTGATTCGGACTTCTAGACGGTTTTTAGAATACTTGATATCTTCCCACTTCAGCTCTGCAGTTTCACTTGCTCTAAGGAGAGCGAAAAACGACAAGACCACTATGAGTGTATCTCGCTCCGATTTTGGATCATCCGAAAGTGATTCAAAAAGTTTCTGGATACTCTCAAGTTCCATCATTTTCGGTTGTTGTCTGGTGGCTATCTTCTCTCTTCTCTGCTCTTGTCAAAAATCGATGAGCCAAATAGAGAATCGTCGTTTTCTCGTCCAGAGGGAGATGGTTTGCGCTTAACCACTTCCTCCTCACATGATTCTCTCGGTCATAAGCTTTTATTATACTGATGGCTTTCGACTTTCTGCTGACGGTTTGTAGAACATGTATGAGTTGGTTGAAGTCCACTGGTCCTCCATACTCAGCTACTTCCTCCAGGAATTTCAATTTTCTTCCTTCTGAAATACGATGTAACTATAACACTATTCTCTTTCTTTATCACGTTCAGATTCTTGTGTCTCTACTCTACTCATTAGTTTGACTTTTCTGTTTGTGCTGTTGCATATCGTAATGTGGGGACTGAGCGGGCGGGACGTATCACACACGTAGACTGGAGGCCCGATGGGCGGCGCTTCCCCCTCTCTCCCCTCTTTCGAGGCGGGATCCCTGGAGCGCGCAAAGGTTTGTACCTTTAAACACGATCATCCAAACAACAAAGGAAATTGGCCTATTTAGAGAAAACCAGCTAATCCCAGAGAAAACAAACAATTCTCCTCTCCACTGCGTGTCATGGAGAAATTGTTTTCTCTAGTCCTACGCTGAAATATAAGACTACAAACGAAAATTATGGATGATACAGGTTTATTTAGGATGGATATGGTGTGTAGAATGCTAGAACCAGAAAAGCCTTGGGGTTCAGTGTGAAAAGTCTATTAATGCTATTAAAAATTGTGATCTACAAAACTCTGAATTCATTTATTCCCCTTTACTAGATCATACGCCTGGGACTATAAATCGCGTATTAATTGGAAAAACTCTAAGGTCTCTTATTTCTCTAATGAAATTTCCGTTCTGGTCAACCAAAGCTAAATAGGACGGGTGTGTCTTCCACAACGGTGTCGCTAAAATCCCCCTGCACCTATTCCTTCTAGCTACTTGAATCAATTTGGCACCAAAACAGGCGGAGGTACCCACCAAGTAAGGGACTTTGCTGCACACGTGAAATGGTCAAAGGCGTCGGTTCCGCTGGAGGTGGGCTCGGGATATCTGGAAAAGTAAACACTGTGTTTAGCATTTCTCTCTGAAGCGAACAGATCGCATTTTACTCGACTCCATCTCTTCTGGGCCCATTCAAACGCCCAGTCTTGTACTCCCCAGTCATCTGTATCAAACTCTCTGCTTGTTGCATCAGCTTCTGTGTTTTCCTCGCGGGGAATCCACAAGAACCTTGCCGGCCTAATTTGCTCTACACTGTCCCATACTCTCTCCGCTACCTTATGCAACTCTAGTTTCATCGAACCTTTCTTCAGTACTGACACTGCCGCCTGACTATCCGAGTGTATAGAAATCGCGCCTCTTATCTGCTCTCTCATTGTTCTTGTCGCGAACTCCACCGCCCTCAGTTCTCTCAAAGCGCTAGATTCCTTTCGGAAACTCACATCACCTATCTTTGACGCTTGCCATACTGTCTCTTTTCTGCTATTTTTAAGAACTGCTCCCATTCCTTCTGCTGAAGCATCAGTGTATAGGTACCAAGTAGGATCGAATTGTTCTTCGTTTATACTTCTCACTAAGTCTCCATTCTTTAGCTTTCTCTCCCAGAATTCAACTTCAAAGAACTCACTCTGAGACATTGACACTTGAAGGTGTTGCTTTTTTGGATTGTCGGAAGTCACCCTCGCCACTGTGGCCGCCAGATGTCGTTGCCGCTGCACTGACTCACATTTTTCAACAATAGACATTGAAGAAATGAAACCGCTTAACTTTTGACGATCCAGGATCGTTGGCGCTTTGCTCTTTTTCATCGTAGCTAACTGATTTCCCAGGGAAACTTCTCTAGATTCTGTCAATCTGATTGACTTAGTGACCAGGTCACATTTAATACCTAACCAAGTAAACTGTTCACTCGGTGACCAGAACGATTTTTCTTCTGCTACTGTTACACCTGCTGCCGCCAGCTCCTCTCTTACTAATCTCACCGCTTCTACCGCTTCTTCCCTCGTCTCCGCTAATATTAACCCGTCATCAATATATAAGAAAAATTTTTACCCCCTTTTCTCTCCATCTGCCCACTAAAGGCCTAAAAACCTTGGTAAAAAGCCAAGGAGCTGAGCTCAGCCCAAACGGCAATGCTGTAAACTTAGAAGAAGGAGCTAGTGAGTGGGGATCTGACAGTGAAAAAGCTAAAAGGTCAGAAGAGGGATCGGCGATTTTGATGTGATGATACCCACTCTTAAAATCGAAAGTCGCAGCATAATTCGCTTTTTCTAGGAATGGCCATACCGCTCTCCAGTCTTCTAATCGAAACCTAGGTGTCTCAATTCCCTTTTTTAGCGCTGATAAGTCTAGAATCAATCTTAACTTCTTCCCATTATCCGCTACTTGAAGTGGACTACATACTATCGGATTGATTGTTTCCACCACTACTCCTGCTTCCAATAATTTCCCCACTTCTTCATGAACGAAATCTAACAATCTGTTTGACATTCTTCTTATCCTCAGAGGATGTGGTAATTTGAAATTCTCAATTAATATAATCTCAAAACCTCTTTCTACTACTTCTAAAATCCACGGACTAACTGGAATACTAGCCCAAAATTTAGCTTTACTAGACATTAAATCTGGATTAACCATACCTTGGTTTTGCACATTGATTGGCGTAATGTCCTCCTTCTCCACAGTTGTAACAATGGATAACCGCTCGTTTTGTAGGATGAGCTCCCAAACCGTCTGCTTCGTGCATTCTTCGGAAGGGTCTTGGCTGGTAATGGTGTTGAGGGGCTGTGAATTGCCGGACTTCGTCCCCCGAAGTCCGAATATCGAAACAACTGCCTCGATGGGCCTGGTCTTCTCTAAGCACTCGGTTCTTCTCTAGCGAGAATCGACGCCAATGCCAAAAACTTCGTGTCACTTGAATCCGATGTTCCCGTCAATTCCGAAATTGCACGCTTGCTTTCGACCTGTTTAAGAGCTGCTGGATTTCTGTCTAGCAACACATTCTCCTGATTTCGTTTCCGGAGCATCGCTGAAGCCTTGTCAATCGCTTCCTCGAAACTTCCTTTCCTCTTAGCTTCCGCTAACATGTTGATGACTTTTACGTTGAAATCCGTCTGATATTGATATCCTTTTTGCTTCAACGTTGGCGCCTTCTCCTCCTGGAATCCTTGCATCCGTGACAGGAGATTAATCCCAAACAGCTTGCTCTCGACGCTTTCAGCTACCTTGGTAGCAAAACTCTCCACAGCGAACTTGTTTGGATCCTGCGCAGGCCTTTCTCCAGAATCCTCGATCATCTTTTGATCCAATTTCGCACTTGACACACTTGACACAAAATTCGCTTCGAAAACGACTCACGCACCACTACGTAACACACACGTAGACTGGAGGCCCAATGGGCGGCGCTTCCCCCTCACTCCCCTCTTTCGTGGCGGGATCCCTGGAGCGCGCAAAGGTCTGTACCTTTAAACGCGATCAACAAAACAACAACAGAAATTGGCCTATTTAGAGAAAACCAGCTAATCCCAGAGAAAACAAACAGTTCTCTAACAGAAAATGAGAGTCAAAGTGTGTGTTCTGTGTTTAGATTGTAGTGGTGTAAGAATGATGACAAATGGGAAAGAAACGGGTGGAAAAGACCCTGCGCATCGAAACACTGTGCCTTTTTGTGATTTTATCTCTGGTACATTCTCTGATAGTGAATCCTTATGAAACTGATAAATAATTTATTATGAAGCTATAATCTCATCATATCCCTTTCTTATTGTTGTTGATTCTCCATTACAGAAGTAATTGCAACCAGGGATACATATCGATCAGGACCAAACCGTGTTCCGTATTCTCTCAAACAGTATTGTTGGACACAATATTTTGTAGCCAAGTACCGTAAACCAGCACAAAAAATTATGATGGCTGTACATTTGAAATCCAATCGGATAAACAACTTGTTTATTGAAAATAGGAAGAGTCCATTTAGTTCGACAATCAGGGTTGCGACGGGGCAATGATAGCAAATCAAGTCTACCACAATTAAATTTTTCTGCAATAAATACCGTATTTCCTCTAAAAGAGGCACACCCAAACCGTCAACTTTTAGCTCAATTATTCCGGTTCCTATGAGAGATATAAAAAATCTGCCAATTAATAAAATATTGGGAACGTTATGATAAACATTTTGTCAGTTTACCACTTTTTGATATCTTTCACAGCAACCGAGATATATGCGCCCCAAGTACAAGTATAGGGTTGCCTTCTTTTTAGATGTGCACGATATTTTTTCAGTTTTTTCGAAGTCGAAGGTCTCTGACAATATTATCCATATTCGCCATTACATTGTTCTTTT